CAACAACCTTAGCATAAACGTAGGATCACTAATGTGCAGAAAACTAAACCACTTTCTGTTACAATAAAACCTATAGACTAGGTAAATTAAAACAAATTGAGACATGGACTTCCTAAATACTAGGACTTATAAACAAACTTTAATTAAATAAATAAATTCCAACAAACCCTCCCTTAGACTGAAAGTTTAAAAACTTTAGTTTAACAATTATGCAGAACATTCCATTAAATTTGATCTTCCAGTGCATAAACTCCAACTAACTTTCTCAGCTTTACAAAACTAGCTAATTTGAGGGGTTTAGTAAAAATATCAGCTACCTGGTCTTCACTTTTTCAGTAGACAAGATCAATAACTTCATCCTTTGTGAGATCACGTAAGAAGTGATACCTCACATCTATGTGCTTGCATCTTCCATGAAAAACAGGGTTCTTTGAAAGCTTAATTGCTGAACTGTTATCACAAAAAATTTGAGTAGAACCTGTTTGTTTAAACTTCAGCTCTTCAAGAATTTTTCTCAGCCAAATTGCTTGACACGCACAAAAGTTGCTGCCACAAACTCAGCCTCAGCTGTTGACAAAGTAACTATTGGTTGATTCTTTGATGGCCATGAAACAGCTATAGAACCTAGCATAAAGCATATCCGGATGTACATCTTCTGTCATCTAAATCTCCAGCATAATCACTATATGTGAACCCAAACAAATCTGATTATTCCCCCTTTTTGTAGAAAAGCCCAAACTTAGTAGTACCATGCAAATACCAAAGAATCCTCTTTGCAGCTAGAAGATGGATCTCCTTTGGTTTCTCTGTATACCTGCTGATAAGACTTACTGCATGCATTAAATCCGGTTGTGTTGCTGTCAAATACATCAAACTTCCAACAATTTACTTGTAAAGAGTGTTGTCAATCCTTTTTCCTGTTGGATCTTTCACAAGCTTCAATCCTTTCTCGACTGGAGTAGTAACTGAGTTGTAGTTCTTCATATGAAACTTGTCTAAAATTTCTTGGGCATATTTCTTTTGTGACACAAAAATTCCAGCATCAGGTTACACTACTTCTATGCTAAGAAAATAGTGCATCATCCCAAGATCAGACATATCAAACTCAAGCATCATGGATTGCTTAAACTTTTCAAACATGACTCTATCATTTCCAGATTAAATCAGATCATCAACATATAAGCATACCACAAGCAGTTATACTCCATTTTCAATTTTTGTGTTAAGAGTATGCTCATTTGGGCATTTTTTTAAAACCTTCCTTACAAAAATAAGAATCTATACGACTATACCAAGCTCTGGGTGCTTGTTTTAGTCCATATAGAGCCTTTTTTAGCTTATAAACTTTATGCTCAATGCCAAATTTCACATAACCAGGAGGTTGATCAATAAATACCTTTTCATGTAAGTCTCTATGTAAAAATGCCGATTTCACGTCCAATTGGAAGATAGGCCATGAGTTTTGAGTTGCCAGCACAATCACCAATCTGATTGTATCGTGTCTTGCAACTAGAGCAAACACTTCTTTATAATCCATGCCAAACTCTTGTTTGTAGCCTTTAGCCACTAAATGCACCTTGTATTTGTCTACCTCACCATTTTCGTTCAGCTTCGTCCTATAAACCCACTTAACACCAATCGTCTTCTGCCCCTTTGAAAGTTCTGTCAACTCCCATGTATGATTCTGTTCAATGGCTGCTATCTCTTCATCGATAGCCTACTGCCACTTGACTTCCTTGTAAGCATCTTCAAACCTAACAAGATCACAATCTAAAAAAATTGCAAAATAAGTAAGTGGGTCCTTATCTTCATCTTGAGGTTGATTAATTTTGCTAACTTCATAATCTCTCATCCATGCTAGCTGTTTTCTAGTTCGTTGAGGTCATGTGTTGCTGCAACTTTGTTGTTGATTTGTAACTTCAGTTGTTAGACAGCTTTCAGCTCCAACTGTTAGTTGTTGCTCCTTGTCATGATCATCACTATCAAAGTCTATTGAAATTTGCTGCATGCCTAGACCTTCACCCCATGGCCAGAATTTTTCTTCATCAAACACCACATCATGACTGATAATTACTTTCTTAGTGATAGGATTGTACAACTTGTAAGCTTTTGACTGATCACTAACACCAAGAAAGATAGATTTTTCAGCCTTGTGATCAAGTTTTGTTCTCTTCTGATCTAGAATGTGGGCATAAGCGATGCAACCAAAAATTTTGAAGTAATCAACTGTAGGTTTACGGCCATTCCAAGCTTCCTCTAGTGTCATAGTTTGAACAACATGAGTAGGACTTCTATTCAGAACATGAGCACTCCAGCTAACAGCTTCGGGCCAAAATTCTTTTGGAATGTTGCTTCTCTTTAAGAGGCTTCGCACCATATTAAGAATTGTACGATTTTTCCTTTTGCTCACTCCATTTTGTTGGGGAGAGTAGGCTACTGTAAATTGTCATTTTATCCCGTGCGATTCACAAAAATTTACAAACTTGTGAATTGTATTCTCCACCACAATCAGTGCGAAGGACTTTTATTAGCTTTTCAACTTCTTTCTCAACAAAGGCCTTAAAGCTTCTAAAAACTATAAAGGCTTCAGATTTTTCCTGCAAAAAATAAACCCAAGTCTTCCGACCAAAATCATCAATGAACGTTATAAAATAACGTTTACGTCCATTGGATTTTGGATTTATTGGTCCATAAAAGTCAAAATGAACCAATTCTAAAGGTTTCTTGGCTCTCCAAGATTTTCCTTTTGGAAAGCTATCACGAGGTTGTTTCCCAACAGCACACTATTTACAAGTTTTTGTAGGATAATCAAAGTGAGGAAGACCAGCTACCATTTCTTTTGCTGTAAAGCCTTTAATCCTCCAAAATTCAGGTGCCCATATCGATAATGTAACAGCCATGCCAAATTCATCAATTTTGCCATAAAGCAAGAGTTGCCAATATTCTGAAAATATAGAGGGAACATCCAATTCGCAATCATGCTAACTTTAGCAACCAATCCATGCTTGGAATCTTGGATTTTGCTGACTCCATCTTTGATAATAACTTCAAATCCCTTCTCTTGTAGTTGACCCACACTAAGTAAATTTGTTTTTAGATCTGGAACAAAAACAACATTAGAGATAGTTTGAACAGATGTGGCCTTAGTTTGGACTTTTACCTTTCCCTTTCCCTTAATAGAAACTGAAGAATTATCTCCAAACTTTATGGTTGTACAAAAAGTTTCATCCAAGTCAGAAAATGTAGACCTGTCTCCACACATATGGTTGTTGCAGCTCGTATCCAGATACCACAAAATTTTGTGGGTTTCTTCCTTGGGATCACTCACCATCAACAAGGAAACTTCCTCTTTGTTCTCATTTGATTCAACCAAGTTAGACCTTTCCCCTCAATGTTTATTTAAATTTGTATGGCATTCTGAGCAATAATGGCCATACCTGTGACAATGGAAGCATTCAACGTTTGATTTGTCTGTTGACTTTGACTTATATCTGGTTGAATTCTGACCATCACGTCCCTTCCGTTCTCCTTGAATGTCAACACCTTTATTCTCGCCTTGTCTGTGGTGTGAATTCTTTCCTCTCTAACCTCCATTTCCATGCCATGATCCTTTTGGATTTGTTGCCACTTGTAACGCCTGCTCTTCTTTGTCCTGCTGGTTTATCTTATGCTCATGTACCAGCAAGGAATTTTTCAATTCATCCATTGAAAGAGTATCAATATCTTTAGATCCTCAATAGAACAAATCACAAAATTAAAATTTGATGGCAGTGAATGAAGAATCTTTTCAACAATGGTGACATCCTCAAGCTTCTCCCCGTGAATTCGCATCTTGTTTGCAATTGCCATTGTCCTCGAAAAATATTCTAAAACAGACTCTCTCGCCTTCATTTGAAGAACCTCGAACTCTCGATGAAGAGCTTGGCAGGGCACACGCTTCGCCTTTGTGTTGCCTTGGAACTTCTTCTTCATAGAGTCCCAAATTTGCTTGGAGGTGTCCTTGCAAAGAATTGTTTCCAGAATTTAACGATCAATTGCTTGGAAAAGGTAATTCTTTGCCTTCAAATCCTTCAGCTTCAACGTTTCTAGGTATGTCCTCTACGTATCAGTCAATGTTGTATCGGCTGTTGGTTCTGCTACTCCAAAATCTACCACCTGCCAATACTCTTTGGACCTCAGGAAATTATCTATTAGCATGCTCCAATGGTCGTAGTGACCATCAAAACGAGGAATAGCTGGTTGCACAAAGTTTCAGAAGCCATGAACAAATTGCTAATACAATGAAGAAGAAAAAATGCTTGTTGCTACACACTATTTCTTTCTCACTTGTCCCTCTTGGTGGCTCTAATACCACTGATGCAAATTTACTCATAAAAATACTTGATATTTTATTCAAACTGAGCTAGCCTTTTAATAGGCAATACAATTCAACAACCTTAGCATAAACATAGGATCACTAACGTGCAAAAAACTAAACCACTTTCTGTTACAATAAAACCTATAGACTAGGTAAATTTAAAACAAACTGAGACATGGACTTCCTAAATACTAGGACTTCAAAACAAACTTTAATTAAATAAATAAATTCCAACAGAAAATGGTACTTGGATTGTTACAGATTTACCACCTGATAAGGAAGCAGTAGGGTTTATAAAATCAAACACAATTCAGATGGAAGTATAGAGAGATATAAGCCCAGGTTAGTTGCTAAGGGTTATACCCAACATGAGGGTATCGATTATCAAGAAACGTTTTCATCTGTGGTGAAAATGGTAACAGTCAGATCCGTTCTTGCCCTTGCTGCCAGCCAAGGTTGGTATTTGCACGAGTTAGATGTCAACAATTTGTTCCTTCATGGAGAATTAGTTGAAGAAGTGTACATGTAGTTACCACAAGGCTTTCATATTGCAGATCAGTCTAAGGTGTTACGATTAAATAAATCTTTATATGGCCTCAAGCAGGCCTTTCCACAATGGTTCCAAAAGTTTTCTAGCACACTCATGGATCATGGTTTTCAACAGTCTGATGCAAATCCATCTCTATTCACAATGAAAGATAAAGATACTTTTATTATCTTATTGGTGTACGTAGATGACATGGTACTTGCAACTAATGATCTTACTAAGATAAAGTCTTTTACAGATTTTCTACACTCACATTTTAAGCTAAAGGACTTGGGGCCATTACAACTTTTCCTTGGTTTTGAGGTAGCAAGATCTACAAAGGGGATTGCAGTGTGTCAACAAAAGTATGCTTTGGAGTTGTTGGAGGAGACTGGGTTGTTCGGAGCAAAACCATCTCACATTCCCATGGATCCTAGTATAAAACTCTCAAACTTTCAAAGAGCTTTATTTACGGACGTGAGCCAGTACAGGCGTTTAATTGGGAGACTGTTATATTTGACTCACACTAGGCTTGATATAGCCTATAGTGTTCATGTTCTTAGCTAGTTTTTAAACTAGCCAAGAGTTCCTCATTATGAAGCTACCTTGAAAATTTTGAGATATATCAAAGCTTCTCCTGCAGAGGGTTTATTTTTCCCCAAAGATTCATCTACTAATTTGAGTGGTTTTTGTGACTCTGATTGGGTTTTTTGTCTAGACACAAGGAGATCAGTTACTGGCCTTTGCATTTTCTTGGGGAATGCAATGAAATCATGGAAGGCAAAGAAGCAAACACATGGTGTCACGTTCATCTGCAGAGGCAGAATATAGGGCTCTAGGATCACTCATAGTTGAAATCATCTAGGTTCTGTAGCTTCTTAAGGACTTGGGAGTCAATCATGATCAACCTGTATCAGTCTATAGTGATAGCAAAGCAACTCTCCTTATTGCTGCCAACCTTGTCTATCACAAGAGAACAAAACATATAGAAGTGGATTGCCACTTGTTCGAAAGATAATGCAGCAAAAGATTATAAAACCTTTTCATGTTCCTTCCACTTAGCAACTTATGGACATCTTCACTAAGCCATTGAATAAGTTACTTTGCACTTCAATGTTATCCAAGATGGGCATTCTCAATATACATTTCTCCTGCTTCATCTTGAGAGAGGTTATTAAAATTCCACATCAGTATGTTTGTTAGCGTAAAATACCGATCAATAGGTGTGGTAGATTCATTTCTATTAGTTAGTTTTTCTTTTTCTTTTTCCTTTTAGTTTATGCTTCTAGTTTAATTAATTTTCATTCTTTTCTCCTTTATGTCAGACTATTTGCTTCTCTCATTTTGTGCAAAGTAGAACTAAATCATTGCCATTTTTCTTCAATATTGTCATCTCTTATAACGTCACTCACCTAGTAAGTGCATTCTATAGAATTAAAATTACATTGCGACGGAGAGGTTGAAGAGATAATGATCCAGCCGGCCTCGATGATGTCAAAATATTAATATATTTAACTTTATATGATTGTATTTATGTTGGGACTCGTCACCATGAAGTGAGAGCAAGCCTGATTTTCCATGGAATTTAATATTGTTAGAAGATTGAGGTTGTTTGTATCTCTTATTGTCTTTCAAGTCAGTAGAGTAGTTGTATTAGTTGAAGTTTTTTGGTTAAAATGTATGGTGATCCTTATTTTAAGGAACTTTTGTTTCTTTGTGTATGTTGTGCTTTAAGTAAGGAATGGTGCTTCAGTTTTTTATATTTTTTGTTAGTCATGTACATTGTATTGACGTATATGTGAATGAAAAAAGCTTCAACTCTCGTCAGTTTTTCTCTCTGTTTTTCTTTCCTCTATTTCTCTTGATTTGCTTCCTTACTACATAAATTTGTCTTGCTTCATCTGTCTCATTTATTCTCAGCCTTGACAACATGGTATCAAAGCTTTTCTGATCTTAAGGGGTGTGTTCATTCTATAGTTATCAGAGTTTTAACATTCTGTTTTCATCACTAGTTCACCATGGCTTCTTCATCTTCATCCATGTCACCACCAGTTTATAACAGTGAGCTTTATAATTTATGGGTTCTCAAAATGAAAGCCCACATGAGAGGATTAGACCTATGGCAATATGTGGAGGAGGAGAAACAACCTCCTAGTTTGGGGCCAAATCCAACATTAAATCAGTTAAGATTGCATGAAGAAGAAGTTGCTAAAGCACCTAGAGCTTTATCAATCATTCATCAAGGTGTAACTGATGCAGTATTCACTAAGATTGTTGCGTGTGAGTCTGCTAAGGAAGCATGGGAAAGATTGAAAAAAGACTCCTTAGGGAATGAAAGATCAAGGCAGATGAATGTGCTTAATCTAAGGAGAGAGTTTGAAGTTCTTAAAATGAAGAAGGCTAAAACTATCAAGGAATATGGTGATAGAATTATGAAAGTTGTAAATCAGATAAGGTTAATGGGTGAAAGTCTTTCTGATTAGAGGATTGTGAAGAAAATTCTGGTGAGCATTCCCGAGAGGTATAAGGCTAAAATCCCCTCTCTTGAAGACTCTAAAAATTTCTCTGATCTTACCTTGTCTAAAGTGATAAATGCCCTAAAAGCTCAAGACCAAAGAAGAGCTTTAAGGCATGAAGATTTTGCAGAAAGTGCTCTTAATGCTAAGTTGAAAGAGAAAAATTCTATCAACAACTCAATGAAGAAGCAGACTGTTGACAGAAAGGAGGAGAGAAAAGTAAAGGGTAAGTTGCAAGGTGAAAAGAAAGGCAAGTATGCTCCTTGTCCTTATTGTAAAAAGGAAAGGGCATTCTCCAAATTATTGCTGGTACAGACCTAACGTTAGATGTAGGTCATGTAACCAGCTTGGACACATTGATAAAGTGTGCAAAAATGTAAGTGGAATCCAAGCTCAACAAACTCAGCAAATTCATTCAACTGAGAAATAAGAAGATGCTAGAGAAAATCTTTTTGTTGCAACTTGTTATGCAACTCAGAATAATCAAATCTCCTGGTTAATAGATAGTGGCTGTTCAAAACATATGACCTTTGATGCTAACATTCTCAAAGACTTGGATGAATCTTATTTGTCCAAAGTGAAAATTGGAAATGGTGAAATGTTAGGTTTCAAAGGAAGAGGAGCAACTATAATTGATACTCCAACAGGTACCAAATGCATTCAAGATGTTCTTTATGTACCTAAAATTAATCATAACTTGCTAAGTGTAGGACAAATGCTAGAAAAGGTTATTCTCTGCATTTTCAAAACAAATCATTCACCATTGTTGATCCTTGTGGTAGTGAACTTATGACTGTCAATATGATAGCCAAGAATTTTCCTATAGACTAGAATGTAGCTAGCACTAAGACTTATCAGCATACTGAAATTGATTCAAATTTATGGCATAGAAGGCTTGGACACTTCAACTATGCAACTTTAAAAAATAAGCATGATAAAGAGCTAGTGCTAAATTTACCAACTGTTGATGATCATCATGGTGTCTGTGAAGTATGTCAGTTCGGCAAACAATCCAAGTTACCTTTTTCAAGCAGCAAATGGAAAGCCACTGAGAAATTGTAGCTTGTTCACTCAGATTTATGTGGACCAATGAGTGTTGCTTCTCTAAATAGGAGCAAATACTTTTTAATCTTTATTGATGACTTCTCAAGACATTGTTGGATTTACTTCTTGAAGCAAAAGTCAGAAGTTTTTGATGTGTTCAAGAGATTCAAGGCAAAAGTGGAAAAGCAGTCAGGGTGTAAACTGAAGTTGTTCAGATCAAATAATGGCCCATAATATACTTCAAAAGAATTCTCTTCTTTATGCAAAACAGAAGTTATAATACATCAACTGACCACTCCTTACACTCCATAGCAAAATGGAGCGAGTGAAAGGAAAAATAGGCCAGTGATGGAAATGTCTAGGTGTTTGATGTTTGAAAAAAACTACCTAAACATTTTTGGGCTGAGGCAGCAAATACTTCAATGTATTTGTTAAATTTGCTGCCCACTAAAGCCTTGAATAATGCCACTCCTTATGAAATCTAGCATGGTTGTAAACCTTCTGTTGATCATCTAAGAATATTTGGATGTGTTTGTTATGCTTTTGTTCCAAGTGAAAGAAGAAGCAAGTTAGAAGCAAAATCAGAGAAAGGGGTGTTTGTTGGTTATAGCTAAGTATCTAAGTGCTATAGAGTGTACAATCCCTCAACCAATAAATTTATGGTTAGTAGGAATGTCATATTTGATGAACAAGCAATTTGGAGCTGGGTAGATGATAATGAAGTAAAAGCAGGTTCAAGTTCAAATCCTAGAACCAATATCTTGTCAAAAAATGATTCATATTCTGGTGATGAAGAAAGTACTCTTACAACAAAAATAAGATCTCTTTAAGATATTTATGGTAGGTGTCATGTGGCTTCTTTAGAGCCAACTTCATTTGATGAAGCTGTCTGCAATGAAGGGTGGAAAACAACAATGAAGAATGAAATGGAAATGATTAATAAGAACTCTACGTGGAGCCTAGTAAAAAACTTGAAAATCACAAGGTTATTAGTGTCAAGTGGATCTATAGAACAAAATTCAATCCTGATGGCACTATAAACAAGCTCAAAGCTAGATTAGTTGTCAAACATGGTATTGATTTCACTAACACTTTTGCTCCAGTAGGCAGGTATGATACTATTAGATTGCTTGTGGCTCTATCTGCTAAACTTGGTTGGAAAGTATACCATCTTGATGGTAAATCTGCTTTTTTTGAATGGTATACTTGATAAAGATATATATGTAGAGCAACCTGAAGGTTTCAAAGTGCCTAGGAAAGAAGAGCAAGTTTACAAGCTGCATAAGGCTCTTTATGGCCTGAAACAGGCACCAAAAACCTGGTATAGCAGGATACATACTTACTTGCTAAACCACGATTTCTGCTACAGTCCAAATGAATCCACTCTTTATGTTAAAAAGGTAAATGTTGATCCATCTCTTATTGTCTCCTTGTATGTTGATGACATCTTTGTGATAGGAGGAGATATGAAATCAGTATTTGTTTTCAAGGAGAATATGGAAAAAGAATTTGAGATGTTAGAATTAGGTGAAATGAAATACTTTCTGGGTATGGAAATAAATCAAGATCACTCAGGCATATTCATCTCTCAGAAAAAATATGCTCAAGATCTGTTGAAAAGATTTCAAATTGAAGGTTGCAAAGCTATTGCAACACCTTTAGCAGTGAATGAAAAACCGAAGAAAATTGATGACTCATAAGAGAAAGCAAATGCTACATTATATAGAAGTCTCATAGGCAGCCTGTTTTATTTATCCTCTACCAGGCCAGATATAATGTTTGCTACATCTCTACTATCCAGGTTTATGCATTCACCAGGAAAATCCCACTGGTGTGCAGCCAAAAGGGTGTTACGGTACATAAGGGGAACTATTGATTTTGGTTTGTGGTTCTCTAAAGAGGGTAGCAGTCAACTTGTAGGCTACTTAGACAGTGACTAGGCAGGGAGCTTAGATGAATTTAAAAGCATTTCAGGTTACTGTTTTTCATTTGGAAGTGCTATGTTGT